ACGTTACAAAAAATGATCTTTTATTATATGCAAAAAACCATAGCTAGCCGGTAAAAAATTTTTTTATTCAAAATTATTAAGATTTGATCTCTAATAATTAAAAGTAATAATCCAACATTCTATCAATAGTGTTGAGATTTGCCTTAAATCTTGTAATTTCATATTGAAAGTCGAATAAAATTATAAGAGTTTGAGAGTTTGTCTTATATTTCATATCGAAAATTTAGTAAAGGTATAAAATGTTTCACCCTTATAAATAAGATATTTTGATTTTTGTTTGATAATTTTAAATAGTTAGACATAACTAAGTGAGTAAGTTATTAAAATTTTGTAATTAGATTTTGAGTTAAATTTTAAGTAAGGAGTTTTTGATGATTTTTTTCATTCAAAAGTTCTTACAGTTGTAAAGATTTATTTGCTAGTAAATTAGGTTTGAAATATATTATTTTTGAATTAAGCTGAAACAAATATATTTGTGTATTTTTATTTTTATTTTGAGCTTGATATTTTGTGTTGTTGATTTCTCAACAAATGGTATGAGGTTCAATAAATATGAAGGGGCAGGCTCAAGAGATCGTGTAGATTGTATGTATTTCAAAATGTTTGAAAAAAGTTTGTCTAATATGTCTATACTAAAGTTTGAGATTTCATTATTTGATGAAAATAATAATTTTATATTATGATAAAGTACGATTCAAGATTTTTTAATACAACAATGGTTGGATTTGGCATTGGAGAGTAGTAAACTTGAGGGAATATTTAATAGTAATTAGAATAAAATTTAGAAGAAAACTATTAGTACTATTAGATTGACGTTAGCTCCAGAGATAAAATACAATATGTTGATTGAGAGTGTTTCGAAGAGTTTGTGGTATAAGCTTGAAGGTATTTATGTATTGAAGTCGTTGATTATCATATTATGTTTAAATATGAATCTATATTCTTTAAAGATGAAAGAATGTACGAGTCTTTATAATCACCTGAATGAGTTTAATAGATTAGTTTCTCAATTATTGGTTATTTCTGTTAATGAGTTAGAAGATGAAAAAAATACTTTAATTTTGTTGTCATTTTTGCCTAAGTCTTATAAACTTTTAGATTAAACTTTATTGGTGGATAAATTTACTTTGAAATTAGTGATGTAATTACTCTATTGCATAAGAATGAATTGTTTATAGGAACACACAACTCATCATCTGGAAGGAGTAAACTAAATGTAAATGATTTTGATCGAGGGTAACTCATAAGAGGTTTGATGGATCAAAAAGAGGATCCAAGTTAAGAGATAAAAAATGTTATTATTGTAGTGAAAAGGAACATATCTAAATGTACTACAACAAGCTGAAAGGGGATATGATTGCTTTTAAAAAAACGAATAACGATAAGAAATCAAATGAAGAAAATGATGATACTGCTACTATTGTATATGATGATGATGAAGTCATTTTAACAACTTGTGTGATGAGACTTAAACTTTGAAAGGTGATAAAAGTTAGGTTTTAGATTTAATTGCTCTATTCCATGTCTATAATGATAGGAATTATTTTGTGGGATTAAAAGAGAATGAGAAGTATAGAGATATTGTAGTTATCAACAATAAAATTTGCATATTCAAGGTATTAGGAGTGTTCGTCTTAGGTCTTGCAATAGTATTGTTAAGACTTTTCATCAAGTAAGGTATGTACCAAGTTGTAACTACAATTTGACTATTTTGAGTGAGTTAGCTTATCGAGTGTACACATATTATGGTAGTAATGATCGGTTGAAAGTGTATAAGAATGGTACTGTGATTCTACAAAGAAATAGGGTAAAAAATCACTTATGCATACTTGATGGAGATTCAATTGTTGGGATTCCTGAGACAAAAGAAAAAAATATAGCAAGCATGTCAGCTTTATAGATATTGTTAAAGTATTCGAAAATTCAAGTCAAAGGAAGATTTGTTGGGGTTTACCTTGAATCTCGTAATCTCATATTAAAAGTTGAGTAAAGTTATAAAAGTTAAAGAGTTTGTATTGTATTCATATGGAGAGTTTAGTAAATGTATAAGGGGTTTTACCCTTATAAATAAGATATTTTGATTTTAGTTTGATAATCTTTAATAATTAAACACAAAAAAAAATTAACTAAGTGAGTAGATTATTAAAAAAATATAATTAAGTTTTTGGTTAAATTTTTAATAAAGAGTTTTTGATAACTTTATTTATTCAAAAAATCTTACAGTTGTAAAAATTTATTTTTAAGTAGATTAAGTTTGAAATAGATCATTTTGAGTTAAGTCAAAACAAATATATTTATATGTTTTTATTTTTGTTTTGAACTTACTATTTTGTGTGGATGCTGCATGTATGTATTGATTTCCCAACAATTAAATTATATAATTATTGATAATCGGCACAAAATTATTGGAATAGTTTTCTTAGGTGGAAATATAATTAAAATAACAGTGATGCAATCAAATTATCAAAACATTATACAATTTTTTAATGGGAAAGGCAGGAAGAAAAATAATACTAGTACTGGTGAGTATTGTCAGCAAAGATTTTCTCTTGATTACAATGGTTAGATCCTGCCTGGATCTTGACATGAACAAAATCAGAAAAAATGATTTGATGACACTGACCTTTGAAGGCTCTTATTAACATCTAGCAACCAAAAACCTAAAGTCAGAAGCTCATGTATTGATATAATAATTAAGATTTATCATCATTGAAAACTTTGATTGGGTGGGAGAGCCTTTTTTTTTCCCTTTCCCTTCCAATGTTTGATGATCTGATATTGGAGGGAATAAATTTTATTGGGTGATAACATCATTGACAGAGAGTGTGCCTTGATGCTTAAGCAAAATCTTTTAGGTCCAATGTCCATCTATCCACTAATCAAAAGTGATTAGGAGGTCTCCGTTTTTAATGTTTTTAACCGACAAGATGTTTATAATCTTAAGGCAAAATTATTATACGATAAGATTCCATTGCATGCCTCGGAAGACTACTTTTTTAACTCATTAGCACTCTATAGATACTTTCTTTTAATAATTTATTGTATTGCTTTCAAATAACATAATCAAATCTAAATTTAATGTCTTAATTTTTCTTATATTTAAAGTTATTAAATTTTAAATAATGATTATTAAAATTAAAATTTTAATATTTTACTAATAGATCACAAAATTATTATACTTTATTTCACCACATCCAATATGTTTTTTTGTTTAAATTTACATGATCATTTTATCTTGTCTTTTGTTTTGTATTAGAAGTTCGTGTTCAAAGGTATATGAGCAAAGTAACGGGATATTTTTGTGCGGTGAGGGGGACAAAGGGTATCTTTAATCATTTCTTCTCAGCCCTAATCACAATCTTTTTGAACTACAACTTTAATGGTTTATACATATTCTCTTTTTCTCTTTGGAGGTTGCAAAGCAAAGCATGGGAGGAAGTGAGGGTCGATCTTGATATAAAGGCATGATGAGTTTGACTTAATATCATAAGTGTTTTTCAAGTATAACTATTAGTGGACTTCAAATCTATCAAAAGAAATCCCACAATTCTCTCTATCTCATCATCTTTTAACTTGTTGAAGCAAGGTATATTTGATTGATTGTTTTTTTGCAAGAAATTTCCTCACCCAAAAAATTTAATGGTACGTACGAAGTGCTCAAGGGTCACAATTCCATCAACGTATTATTATTATTTTTTATTGATTAAGCAAAAGATTATGTTTTGGAAGAAGGAAGAAAAGACACCTCATAGAAGATCATTTATAAAATTCTAAAAACATGGGGGCCCTCTTCAGCCTTTATTGCCTTGCCCTGGTTGGTACAAACAAACAAAGCATGGCCAAAAAGAAAAATCATGCTCTTGTCACAAAGCAAACCCATTCACAGAGAGAGAGAGAGAGTGGCAGAAATCACTTAGCACATCTTCAAAATTAATAAAAAGGCTGTTTGATCCGATGTCACACTGCCTCCACTCATCACCTCCTCTCTTCTTTAGTTTTTTTTTTTTTTTTTGTCTCCAGAGGGAATCCCATGACCATCACACCCACTTTTGGGATTTAATTTTCAGTTTCATTAAACCATGCAGAGCAAGCATTAAAATTGCAGTATAATTTCGGTGATCTAATGTAGAAATTTAGTGGACTCTTCAAAGTTTTTTTTTTTTTTTTTCCAACCAAAATTGTATGTTATGAAGAAAAAAAGTTATAAACGTCGGAATTTTAAATTTTACGTATACAACATTTTCATTTCCATGTGGAAGGTAAGACATGGTCAATTGAATTAACCTTTCAAAATCTTCTCAAATCTTTTTTTATAATTATAAAATCTTTACCTTAACTAAATAAGAAACCGTGCAACACGATTACTGACTATTCTTTAGGAGAAATAAGGTTCTTAATAGCTCAAGTCCAAGACTGATGGTATTAACGTGCTTATCCTTTCTATATTCTAAGTTCTAACTACCTTCGGTGATTATTTTATAGGAAGAATTGACTTTTCGTAAAACACATGGTTCCCTAATCAATCAGTTCTCTGGCTTATTCTTGATTTAAAATGTTAAATGAAATGTGTAAACTAACACAAAATATATTATGCATTACTTTGACTCCAACCTATACAAGATCGTCGCTTGCTAAGTGCTGGTTCTATCAAGACCAAGCAACCAAAGTCAGGAACGTAGCTAGGTGGGAATAGTGAAAGAAAGAGAAGGGGAAAAAGCAGGCTAGAGGAATATGTCGGCTCCTCAGGCTCATGATCTGAATAATGCAGGTCCGAATCCTTCGTTGAAAGAAATTCATCCCTCATTGTGTAATTTAAAATCATGTCTATTTTAATTGCCCAGAAGTGAAAGCAGTGAGAACCTGCTAGCACCTCAAAGTACCACAATTTATATTTTATACAAAAGATTTCGCAACTTAAAGATAAGAGAAAAAATTACACAAACTGAAATTTGATCTTTAATCTTACTAGATGTCACTTTTTAAAAATGATTATACGAATAAATTAAACTAAATTTTATGTTTAAAGTACCATGATCTTCCCATTGGCTGAAATATAAGATTTTAAACTTTGAGAAAGGAACTGTAATTGAGTTGAATTTCACAAATACTTATTTCAAAAAATAATTTGAAACCTTACATTTGGACTTCCAAAATTCCTTGTGGATTCCCCAATCTAAACTTTTAAAACCATTTTCAAACAAAGCATCTAGATTTAACAAAAGATGCTCAGCCTTGCCCATAATCCACAACATTTAGCACATTACATAAACCGCACTTCCAAATTTCCATTTAACATTAAAAACCATGCTCTTTTCCCTGAAACTCTCGCTATATACGATTACAATATTGGTTCTGTTTCGCTACAGGTGATGAGGTTGCAGAACTTTTTATATATTGCAGATTGTACTTTTGTAGATAATAAACATTTGAGAAAATAAAAGAAACGAACTGCAATAAAAAGTTGAACACATGCAGCCAAAAAGGAAATCTGAAAAGAATGTGATCATGTATTAACCATCAACCTCATCAGTCATGACATTTACTGTATCTTCAACATTGACGAGATCAGATGTAATAACCTTCTGCTGCTGGCTTTCTGTTTCTTCTTCCAGATCTTCTGATTTAGATCTCTTACTACTTCTAATAATCAGATCCTTTCCGCATGGTCTTCGCACAAAAAAATGAACAAAAGCAAACAAAAAAAAAAAGAGAAAATCAAGGAATTAAAAACTGATCATAAGACTTAATCCGAGCAGATTTCTACAACAACAAATTATGACAAGATATATAAAAAACATAAGACTCATTTATTTACTCAAAATATCAAAATTCTTTGGAATTGAAGATAACCAAGCTCCAAGTGAGCCAAATAAGAAACTAATTCCTTGTCTAGGACAGCTTTCCAGATTCTATCAAAGTTCCATAATTTGAGTTCCAACATTAACTAACATTATTTCAAAGCAGACTTCCGCAATATGCCCTATCAGATTACTAAGCAACATTAAAAAAAAAATCTTCCTTAACTTTTGTTTTTTTGTTGATGGCCAATTGTTATACTCCATTAACCCAAATGCTAACTAAGAACGTGAACATCATGATGATTGTTGGTACAAGAATCATGGATGCATTCTTAACTAGGAAATCTAAATCTAAACATACCTTTTGCAAAATTCCTTTCTTGTTTTAAATGCAATACATTCCTTTAGCTCTTCAATGCTCATCAGATCATCAAGCTTACATTTTAATAAATTGGAAGAATCAAGAAATGCAGCAGACTCAACCATGACAGGAATAAGTGACAAGTCCTTGACCTTTTCTTTGAGACATTCCATCAAAATGAACCCTGAAAAGAAGGTTCACAAGAAACTAGTTATAAAAAAATTTCAGAATTTAAGAATCAAGATCAACTATACATCTAATGGAACAAGAAGCAAAAACTGGAGGCTAGATGGAATTGATACATAACACAGAGCAGAGAAACTGAAATATCGTAAGAGCCTTACAGAGAACAGGGATGCAATGGAAAATATACAAGGTTCTAGAATCAAACCCCCTATGTTCTCACCAAAAGTACTAAGATATGTCATTCAAAAATCACATAGCAAATAAAGCAAAAAAAGGCTTATAAAAAGCATTTCCAAATGTTGGTTCAACCATAAATCACATATGTCAAGTTTAAATACAAGGCAAGAGTGCTGCTCTATACTCAGTGCCTTTTCCGACTCTATAGGTTACAAGGCAAGCCTAAGCCATTTCTAGCTTATGAATATCATGTGAGTAAACAGAAAAGATTTAGGCCATATAGAGCTTTGAAATTCCAATTCCAAACTATGATAGCAATAGAGGTGTGTGAGTCCCCACAGTCGAACACAAGGCCATAAGACACTTCTCAGCCAGAGATAATCAGCAAAGCAAAATTTATATAATTCGTTCAAGGCTTCAATGAAGCAATCAACTGCAGGAAAATATAAATGAATCAACCTTGGACGGTAGCACGGATAATACATACAGTCGAATAGATTAACTTATTCTTTTTTCCACAAGGTGTTCAATACATCAAGGCTTTGCTTGGTTAGAAGGATGGAAAACTTGTTAATCAAATGGTTAAGTTTCATAACCACTTTCCTATTTTGTAGCTTAATGTAAGAATCCTACCAAGCAAAGCCTAAAAGGATAACAAAAGAAAGACAGAATTACAAGACCTACATCACCACCATGAACAGTTATTCTTGGATCAAACTGACTTCTTAAGTGGCATAAAGTCGACAGGCCTACTCAACATGCCAGTACAGCATCACTTAGTTAACTACTGCAGTTGCCCTTAGAACATCAAAACATGCATGCATACACATACGCAAGAAGATTATTACATTAGTGTCACGAAATAAAACTGCAATATGCGTGATTCATTAAGAAGGTGAAACTATTGTCAAATGTTTATCTTGTTCGTAGCTGGTGAACAAAAACACCATTAATACTTCAACAAACAATTGTATCTAAAGCTCCATGTATCAACATCTGACTATTAATTTACAGGATACTCTAATTGCATTGTAAAAAATTTTCTCTGAAAAATAAAAAGGGGTTGCAGCACAATAACAAGGAAATGGATCAAAAGCTCAGGTTTAGACCCTAAAAGACTTTGTATGGTATCTCAAAATGCTATTAACGACTTATGAACATGAAGGCAAACGAATAACATGCATTGAGAAACAAAGAAACTTAAAATTTCACTCTAAAAAGTGCTAAATGTTGCAACCAATAAGACTGCATGAAGAATGAGCCAAAACCACTATCTTTCAATATACAGCTTCCATTAGCTTAGTACAAAAACAACCCAAGATGCCATGAATTCGAAAATCCAAAATTCTCCAAACATCATTAAAAAAAAAACCACAAAAGCAAGGCCTACCCATCAAAGAAAATTATCAAATTAACTTAAGTTTCAAGAACAAAAAAAATGCAAGGAAATAAAGAAAAAGCACCTAGGGCTCGAAGCATCTTCAAATCAAACTTCTTGGCTAGTTGAACATGCCCAATTACACTAGCACGTTTCAAGGCTAGCTTCTTTAAGCTAATCAATAAATCCTGCAAATTGGGTTCAGATTGCTTTGGATTAATTCTCAATAAACTTACATATTTTCACTAAAAAAAAAGAATAAAGAGAAAATAACTTACAAGCTCGGATTCAGAAAGGGAACAAAGCCAACTGACATCTTCAATGCTATTATTTCCAAAAATTTCTTCTTTTTCTTTTCCCATATAAACGCAACGAATAAATTTGCTCCTTTTTTTTGGGTTTCAAATAACAATGTGCCGAGTATTTTGGACAAGCTCGGTAAAGGATTTTGCTATTTGTTGAAAACTGTAAAACCTCGGCAAGGCTGAAAACGAGAATTGAAGAAGACGCTTTAGGGTTTTTCTGATCTTAATAGTTTGGGCCGAATAAAAGTTTATTATGTGAAATTGGGCCTTGGCCCAATAAAATGTCAATTAGATCTCCCAATCCGGTGGCTTCTGCTATGTGCTAGCATTCATGAGCGCTTCACATGTGCTTTTACAACTCTGGCCGTTCGTTTGATATCCCATAAACCAGAACCGTTGGATTAACATGATAATAAAGTAAGAGAAGCGCATCACAGCCGCTCAAAAGTTGCATCTCTTCATTACTACTGACATTGTCAAGAAAGTTATATTTTGTGTGACAAATAAAATTACAAAAATGGGAGTTAATAAAAAACTTGTAGTAATTGTTACCATTAAAAAAAATATTTATTAAAAAATGGAATGATAATTTTGATAATTATTTCTAAAAATGAAAAAAATTAAATTTTTTGTTTTCAAATAAGACATAAAATATGAATAAACCTTAATAGAAATGCAGAGATGCTTGGGAGTTTCTTTGTTTTTGGGTAAAAAAGTAAATAACCTTGAAGAAAAAAAAATAATGAAACAGTTAATTAATGAATATTTCATGTAAGCAGTTCTTTTATTTATTTATTTTTCCTTTTGGGTATAGTTCATAGAGCTTAATTATTAATGGCTGGAATTAAAAAAAAAAAAAAAGCCGAAAAAGAATGATAACAAGAGTTGCAGAAAAACAATTGATATTTTACATTCAATCATTGAATGAATGAAAGAATGAGGAAGTTTGATTGTTATTCTTCTAAAATACAAAAAGGAAAAGGGACTAGTAGTTATTGATCTATATATGGGGCTGTTTGTCACTGATCTATAGATTGATAGTTTCTTTTGATGCAACTGTTCTTTGAATGACAATTTTTGCATCAACTCTTGCTGAAAAACCAATGCGAGTAGACCTCTGGGAGTTTCTTTGTTCTCTTATCCACGTTTGATTATCAGTCACATCATCTTTCCTGAAGCAGTACTTCATTTCTTGGATGATATGATCATCCATGGGATTAAATGATCTTTGAATGACAATGTGTATGAAGTAAGGAAGAAGAGAAACGATGACGACGAGCAAGGTAACCATCCAGTACAAGGGTGCTGGTCCAATCTCTTCAATGAAGACATGAAATGCTTTTCCTGATAAATATGGAGGCAATGCACCATAGAGTACCAAGAAAATGTACCATAACAAGATACTGCCCCATATGGAGAGATGTTGGATCCAAGTGAAGTGGCTGGTAATTAGAGCAATTTGACAATTGACTGTCCAGATTATGCAGGTGTATGTTATGGCACCAAGAGAACTGATATCTGCCACGTATCCATTTTGTCGGTATGCACTGGGTGAGAGTATGTAAATATTTGCCAGGAAGATGACAAGAGAACTAACCACCCCGTTTAATATCCAGCCAATTATGCGGCTCCATTTGAAGTGTACATTCCTTGGCCCTTGCTGATAAAGGGCTGGAAACTGTTTCATTTCAGAAGAAACAGAATTGCTAAAAGAACTTTAGGTTTTGGCACAAAAGTAGAACAGTTGAGAAAACCAGTTAATGTTTCTGAGATCAACCCTTGTGTGGCTATGTTTAGTTACTTTACCTGCAAGCATACGTCGGATGAAACATCCTGCTCCAGGACTCCTAATGCTATGACGGGCAGGGACGTCAGCAGCACATTGAACATTGTCATGTACCAGTCATCGTACAAGACCTCGCCAGAGAAACTTGTGTATAATTCAAAGTAGAACAGAGTGAGGCCAAATGCGACATTCTTGTAGACAAAGTACAGAACCTATAACAAGTCACCAGGAGAGCATGAAAATTAAGTCTTGAAATAAACATACAAAATATGATATTATATAATTGGAAAGAAAGATTTACCATCTTTGATATTCTCTGATAACACCAATGCCCATGAACTATAAGTAATCTCTCCAAGAATCGAAATTGAGGTAGTGAGAAATCGCTAGCCATGACTGCCTGTGTGTGATAATCCATGAAAAAAGAACTTTTAGATGTACTAGGAACTGAATATTTGCACTTCATCCATATATATCCTTTTAGTTTATTTGTTCTCGAGGAACACTTTCTAACAGATTTTACTTTCGCCAACGTAAGTTCATGAGTAAGAATGGAACTAAAAGTGCTGAAGGGTAAAGATTCCTTGCCAATCTATTTATCAGAATGAATTATGAAAACTTACCTGCATTCCCTCCATACCACTGATCCCAACTCCAATATCAGCTTCTTGAATCATACCAACATCATTTGCCCCATCCCCAATTGCAAGAGTTGTTTTGCCTGTGTATTCCTTTACTAATCGAGTGATCTGTAATTTCCCGGTTTAAGCTCTAATTAAGTAATATTGGAAAGTACAAACACAAATGAATATCATAGGAGGATGAATATTGAATTAGATTGGCTTCCCTGTATCGTTAAAAAAAGGTAGCAGTGTTACAAAATTTATTGAAGCCATTAGGTCAGTTGCTGGATTACTGATTTGGTTTTACCAGTGTACTTTTGAAAGCCTAACACAACTATGAGAACAAGTTGGTTCTTCGATATCCTTTTTAAATTTATGTAATTATCATTCAGAAAGTCTTAGGAAACAAAGACAAATGCCATACCAAAGCTTTCTGTTTTGGGGACACTCGGCAGCATATGACAGAAGCACAATTAACAGCCAATTGTAAGAACTCATCCTTCACGTCCCCTCTCAAGGCAATTTCAAAAGCTTTTCCATCTATAACTAAAGCAAATGGAGCCTCTTTGTTTCTTTCTTCACACATCACTTTATAAGAATTTTCAATTTGATGCAAAATTTCTTCTTTCATAGCCTGCAGAGCTAGAAAAAGCAGTCTTGTTATTACCAACTCAACTTTGACCAATTCAGAAAGATAATGCATTAGATATCTTTTGGATGAAGCCTTGGCAAAATGTTATTCTAATACCATGAATATTCTCTACCATAAAATGTCGAGTGCCTATGAAAATATGAAGTTGTACCAAGAACCAAATTTTAGTTATACTTATTTCATTTATGGCTTGCGTACAAATTGAAGGGAATTTTTCAGTCTGAACAACTAGTGAAAGTATCCATGTTCTTTTCCCTCTTTTCAAAACTGATATGGAGAGTGATCACATACAATCATATGTCAGATAATGCCCCTTTTTCAAGTTAACTTTTACCTTTACTTGGTTATTAGACTCAGCTTCTCTGCTCAAACTCAAATGAAATTGTTTCATATCCTGACGGAGTAAGCTGCAAGCAAATCTGCCAAATTGGGGAAGACCCATAAGAAATTAATAGTTAAGTAAGGCAAAGAAATAAACAAAAGGTACTGATTTTCAATTTGATATGGTACTTTGTTCCAGTAAACAAAGAACTTAACCAAAATAATGCAGAAAGATATGGAATTGTTATAAGCCTCACCCTATGTTTATTGCAGTCTCCCTCTTGTCACCAGTGAGCAGCCATATTTTCAACCCTGCTTGGGCAAGTTTATCTATGCACTCTGGGACCTATTTGTTTGTAAATGGAATAAGAACTTAGTCGCAGGAAAAAATGTTGAATTATGTAAACAGAAATGCATTTTTGAGCCTCACAAAAACGTCTCTCTGGTAGATCAACTAGCAAAAGCAACAAGCAGAGAGCCGCAGGCCGCAGCTGGTGTATTGAATTTCGCAGCAAGTCCAACAATTAGAATGATAATAGTTTTGATTTTGCTTACATGCTGGAAAATCAGAATTAGCCAATTAATTTTCTATTATAGAGTGATTCATAATGTTCCTGCACCTCTAGTGGCATTTTCTTATTGAGCAGTCAAAAAAGCTGTGTTCTGTAAATGACTAAAGAATTTGAATAACCACCAATTTAGACAGTTTAAAATAACTTCAATATTCTTATTAGAATTTATTACTATTATAAATGAAAACCACCTACTGGCATTTTACAAGACCAATTGAATTTTCACCCTTTTTTTTTTTCTGAAGTTTTAGTGCCCATCTACATAAATTAACTTGGTTTAAGCTTGAGAATATGCAACATTGAGAGTAGCTGCAACCCCCAAATTATAGTAGTCCAATTTTTTTTTTTTTTTGTAATGTTAGATGCTTTCTTTAGAATCTCCTCTTCAACACAAGCAGAAAAACACAGAAATGATCACAAAAGAGGAAGATAACTGACCCCTTTTTGTAACTTGTCTTCAACAGCTGCAACCCCCAATAAGATTAAGTCCTTTTCTATCATTTCCGATGCTTTCTCTAGTAATTCTTCTCTTTCAGGACCAACTGTGGTTTTGGCTTTTGTAAATGCTGTGTTCCAACATTCATACTCGGCTGCCTCAACTATCCTGTAAGCGAATGCTAGAGTTCGAAAACCATCTTCTGCGTAATTTGAAAGGTGCAAAGTTGTTGCTTGCTCATAAGTCCTTCCATTATCAGCTAGTCTATCGAAGATTATGCTGAAAACCCAACCAATGAAAAAAAAAATGAGATAAGAGATATTGCTTTCAATTGAGTGATCCTAACAAAGTTTCTGGTCATTGTGTTCTGTATTTAAAGTTGTTTTGACATGAAAATTGTTCGTAGAGTGAGATATACCTGTCTGCACCTTTGCAAAGTAAAAATATCTGACCATCTTCGTTGCTCACTATGACTGACATCCTCTTACGCGAACTACTAAACTCCAACAGATTCAGTAGCTTGTACTCCCTGAAGATAACCTTGATATCATATTTTGGCATTACAATTTGAAAGATACCACTTCAAGCATAAGGAAACCTTTGGAAGCAAAGTAAAGGTTGTAAAAGCAAATGATACCTCTCCACCTCTTTCCCAGAAGGGTCAAACTCCTTAAGAACCATCACTGATTGAGTTCTTCTACAAAATTGGAACTCAAACTCTTGGGACGCAATCAGAAAAGCCACTTCTTCTGGTGACTCTGCTTCATACCTTAGCTTATCGATTTTATCATCTTCAATAGGTATGCCAGTATGACACAAAGCCATGACTCTAAAGAACATTGTAATTTCCAATAAGCTGGATCTATGGATCCAATTCTTGTTCATAAGCCTGTCATCTCTAAAATTGAAACCCTTGATAACAGATTCCTCCTCAGTTCTAGACAGTCTTGAAATCCCTTTATTTGCATTATCCTGAACTTCTGGGCATCCGAGAACAGCCTTTTCAGCACTAAAATTAGATACTTCAAAGCTTTGGCTAATTCTATCGGACTCACCAATACTGAACTGGCATGCCTCAAAATCAGCATTCATTCTTTTTGATGCAGCAAGGTCAACTTCAGTTGTATCACCCCCATAGGAAATTCCAGCAATTGAGCATTTCCTAAACTCCATCTGATTACATGTCAAAGTCCCAGTTTTATCAGACAGTATCATTTCTACCTGACCAAGTTCTTCATTTAAATTTGACGTCCGGGCTTGAACTGACTTGCATGCTGCTTCATCATACATTTCTATATCCTTATTAATAAGCATTGCTTGTAAAACTTTAACAACTTCAATTGAGACATATAAAGAAATGGGGATTAAGTAGCCATACAATATGAGGGCCCGTATGAACTGTAAAATAGCTGATTTTAGCGGCTTTGATGGATCGAAGAAACGATCTTCTTTTTTTGAGTCAGAGCCCTCAAGGTCAGGGACCTTATTGTCATCTGGCAACTGAAGGTACCACCAATCATCCATGTCATGCTTCATTAACAGTGAAGATCCAATGGAGGAAACCAAGGAAACCAAAAGAAGCATTGAGAAAAGAAGGTAGATGATGTGATCCATTTTTCTCTCTACCCGGCTACGTTTAGATGGTGATCTTGTGGAGTTCCGTACTGCTTTTGTATCATGTCCACTGAAGATTACTACTCCATAAACGTAATCAGTGTTTCGGAGTTTTGAATCTCTTAAAAGCAGTTGGGCAGGGCTCAAAGGATGTGATTCATTCTCAAACTCTAAATTCCCCACAAAGGTGTAAAGATTAGGATTTGGATCCTCACAACGGACAGTGGCCTTGAATCTACCGAATTCTTCATCCTCATTCAGAGAAAGAGTGTCTTCCAAGGATCTTTTAATTTTCAGATTCGTTTCTCCATCAAGGTTCATGGTCTCCACATAACAAACGCCATCCTCATAGCTGGAAGATAGTAACAGAAGATCACTTGGAAAATATTCATCTTTATTAACCTTTACAACATCTCCTACGCGAAGTTCTTTCCACAATTTATCTACAAATTCTCCATTGCTCGCATGAGCCTTTACAGTTCGATTGTTTACGTTCAAATCCTGCAAATAGTTTTCAAACAACATGACATATATTTGGAAGAATCATTGAAAACTGTAGTAAAAGTTGAAACAAATAAGGCGTAAAAGAAGTGAAATGTTTAACTTGAAGTTACCTGCAAGAATCTATGCCAATCTTCCACGGCCTCTTTAAGCATGCTGATTCCCACCACAAACACCAAAGGAACAATCAAACTTGCTCGTGAAAGAGGAGCCAAAGAAGCAAGCGACAGAACTGCTGCCAATAGAAAATAGAAATTGGCAACTCTTCTGAACTGCTCAAAAAGCGCTCTTGGAAGGAAAGTCAGAACGTTGTATTTAGTTGTGGATATATAGTTGTAAGGATATTTGTAAGGCTTTCTCTTGTGTCGGTGAGGTTCGTTGCAGAAAACCACCCTAGAAAATCCTGGCTGACCGATGAGCTCTTGAGCAGCAGACGGTTCATATGTTGAGGTTCGCAAGCATGCAAAAGAATACAGTTTGCTCCATCTAACCATCCCCATCTTCCTTCTCCTGGTTGACGCTGCTATCTCAACCACTTCACAAGTTCCAGCTCCCTCTTCAGCTAGATGAAAAAGGCTATGGAAATCATATTAACATAAGCCAAAATTCAAACTGATCCATTATCTAATTGCCCAACAATGTGATTTTTGTTGCTCATTCTACCTGTAGATCCCTGGCCTTCAACAAAGAAACTACAGATTCCAACGATTGTCATCATAGATATATATATACACCATGTACAAAATTCATAGAAGTTTGTCTTTTCTTAACCGTCCCCTTCTCTTAGTTTTATGTTAGGCAATTTTTGTTGGGAATAATAACTCAAATTGCATAAGAAATTTATTTGAGATTTACATCTTATGGATGCATAAGTTTGTTTGTGAGTAAATTAAAGGAGATTGATAGGATCCACGATGTATAGATACATAAAAGTATGTGTTTGGATGTGTTGAAATAGTATATATGAGTATGTATTTATTTGGATTAATAATATTCTATAAGACTATAAGAGATTGAGAGGATCTATGAGTATTGATTGTTGAGTGATTGATACATTTTTATGTATATTTATAATTTTCTACAACAATTAGTAGATATTATTTTTTATCTATGAACATAAGTCAGTTAAACTAAATCACGTTAAATTAATATTTCTTATATAATTGATTGATTATTTAATTTTATTTCTGTTAATATGATTAGATTAAAGTTTTTTAATCTAACAAATATTATCAGGGTTGTGATAATTTTTAATAATTCTATGATTGTACTTTATGTAAAGAGACGCTTCCAATGCTGGAGTTCGGAATTTCCTAGATCTAGCAGGCCTTCAACGAGCCGCGTTTCACGGATTAATAACATTCTCATTTTCCTTCACTGAACTTAAAATATTTCACCACCCTTCTAAATGAGCCAGATATGCAAATCATCCTTGCCTTTGAGTATGCTTCAAAATACCCAAACGGTCAAAAAAACACATGGTAACTTACTGCATGTTCAAAGAAGGCAGTCAACTTTGATTTTTACATGATCAATCAGAATTGCCTCTAGATTCGAGAATTGAATCTTGGGAAGAATTTTTTTCATTTATTTTTTTCTTTCAAACCAAAACTGAGTCAACTATTATAAATTAGAATAAGCGGCAAAGCCTAAAAGACCACAATTAAACTCCATCGTGTTCATCTGCCTCTAGATTCGAGTTTCCAATTCACAAAACGATATACTTCATGTCTGATTTTTCTTCCTTTTCTACAATGTCCAGTTGTCAACCAACCCTTTTGTCTTCAAGATTAAAATAATTCCATAGAATCATCCGAATATTATTATATTCATATTATTGATTTCAGTACATGTATTATATTACCCTCAGTATCAAAGCTGTTTTTCTATAGAACTTAAAACTCCATTGACAAGTAATGTACAATCAAACTAGAGATAGAATCCATGGAAGACATTTACCCCTTAGTTTTTTTTTTTGGCGAAGAAAAAAATGTGACAGAACACAGAGTAGGCCTCAACTCAACAGCTACATAAAGTCATAAATTTGAAATGGCTCTTTAACTTTTCTACATTTCAAGCCAAAATCATAAATTTTGTTGCTGGGAATGGTATTGAGAAGCAGCCAAAGTGTACAAAAAGGTCATCTTTGCATTAATTCATGTGTATTTATTATATCAAGGTTCCTTCAATCCCGCCTTTCAAGAAACTTTGCCTAGATAGTAGCCAAAAGGTTAAAAAACAAAGGGACCCACTGTCATAAAGCTTGCCGAATTGCCAAAGAAACCAACAACTAATTAAACCAATGAACCGAGCCTTTGAGTGTATCAATGCAACTAAAACCTCCATGGGAAAACAACTAGGGCAGCAAGGTGATGAGTCGTCAAACAAATTGGTCCGAACATAAAAAAATCTGAAAAAATCGATTCACAGATTTCTGATTTGCATTGATAGCTATAAACAAAGGACATTTGAATAGATAGAACAATGCAAGTAGGTGACCGCCGGCTTCTATTAAGCATCCTAATGCCGTTTGCAATAAGAAATTATGTAACGAGTTTATTATGCCGGCTGGCATGGGTGGCATGTGCTGCTTGGAAGCATGCCAATGTAATATGCTGAAATGAATTCTCAAATAATAGAGAATTATAAATATAGGAGAAATACTTTGTCAACTAGGTCCTTTGCGCAATAGTTGATTGTGATAATTAATGTGATAATAATGATTTTCAATATGTTAAATGAAGATATTTTCCATGAGGATGTAGTAATTTAAAGAAATGTCCTTTTATCAAACACATAAAACAACAACAATCCAAAGCTACCAAATTACAAACATTATCGGTCATGTGCTTTTAAGTTCATCACCTGACTTCTTTTTTTGATATTGCTTACCCATAACAGAATGTCGGATGCCAACACCTGAAGAAGAAGAAGAAGAAGAAGAAGAAGAAACACATTTGCTAATTTAATTCAAGTAAACGAAATGTTATACCTATTATACGACCGGTATTGAACCTACATAGAATTTCAAATTAAGCATAATCACAAATTCATTGAATAAAAAATTAGTCATATCTACATTGCTGAAATACATCAATGATCACAAACCATAGATCTGATTGTATTCAAAATAACAAGAAAAAAAATGCACTTTCAGTAAATGGCTGCCATCAATGTCCTCGAGCTTGATTTGGATCATGCATTTAAGACCACGCGATACATGATATTGAATCCATATTTCGTTCAGCTTTAGATTTCTACAAGATTGGCACAAGTTGTTCTAGCTGCCCAATATCTGATTGGACATTGAAGGAAGGTACTTTATCGATAAATTTCCACGGGATGAGTACTCTGGAATGGTGTCATTTCCTGATTCAGAGCAAACAATCTTGGGCCCATTGTAATGAATGACCATACTCTTTTCAGTGATTTCTAGTGATACTGATTCCTTCACCAACCAGGAATTTGAAAGTTTCATATACTTGTTGTAGACTGCCAATGCTATTGCTGGATTTTCTTTACTCCTGCATATAAAACACAAAAGAGGAAATAATCATTCTCTGGAGATAAATATTAAGAAGAATATTACGGCAGTTCACCAACAATAACTGTAAGCATTTTCATCAGTAGTATTGAGAAGAAGGGGAGAATAAGCAACCTGTCACTCCAATTCAGACAGCCTCAAAAAACCCTTCCAATTTCCTTGCTTCAATCAAAAAGCAAACTTAAGTCAGGCATACATGCATCCTTCACATATGGTGTCATAGATACCCATAGTAGAAATGAAAGTGATCTAAGTCTGGGTATCTGGATATTTATGAAAGCACAGAAAAAGAGTAACGAAAAGCAGAAAAACTGATATTATATCTTTGGATTTAGTCACTAGCGCTGTAAAACCAAGAATTACATTGCTCTAAGGATCATTCAGTGGCAAATGAGAATCCAACTCAATATTTGCACCCAAAAAAAAAGCCAAGAGAGCAATTTTGATATGATACGTTGAACTTGAAAGAGTTGAGTTGGCAAGAACTGCCAAGACTATAAGGTCCAAACATTTCATTCATGAAACAACGTGTATCATCCCGTCCTCTTCATCGTTGGCGAGTTTTACGGTGGATGAAGAAGAGGAGCGGTAGTTAAAAGGGACCCAGTTTCTGAAAGGGTCCGAGCAGTCACGGAAACGGGAAGCGGGTAAGAAATGGAGGGCGAGAAAATGATGAGCCCAAAAGCGAGAAAGTGAATGAAGGGTTTTGGAGTCGAAGTCGGATCTAGGTCCGGATGGATGGGTCCAGGATTCTTGGGATTGTCAGTGTCTTGAGATGGTCTTCTGCTAGTAGCAGAAGATCTTCACGACATGTACGAGGAAGAAGCCATTGACTTGGCTATAGGCTGTGGCCCATGCTTTCTTTCCAACGCTTTCTGCGGTTGGAATTCCCCGAAAAACTCGTTTCAAAATCTACATCTTTTTTTTTTTTTTTGTTGATGTGAGTTTATGGCATGGGACAATTTTTTTTCTCCCTTTTGCCGACAATGTTATTTACATAAATTTTAATGAACACACTAAAAAATTTCCCAACCAATTTCCTGAGATCAATCACTCTAGTGCTATAAAATTTAATCAAACATTTCAAGATAATACAAATTCTAATATAATGATAATAAAAGAAATTAATTGGGACTTTGTGTCTATATTTTGTTATCGTGATGTCAATGTATTTTATGTAATATTTAGAAAAATTTTTGAAATTTGTATATGTATTTTTCTTTTTGATTTAGAAAAATAATTTAAACTTAATTTTTAATAAAAATTATATATTAATGAGTATTATCTTTATTTTTCTTTAATCTCGAAACATTTTTCTTTCTCTTTTTACCATTTTTTTCATGAGTAATTAATTAAAAAATAAAGAAAATTACCTTTCTCTCGTTACCATCCAAACTTTCCGTATTTCAATTCTAATACATAAGCATAAATTATAATAAAAATATAATAAAAAATATTGCTAACAAATATCTTAAAAATACTCTTTAAAGTTGGTAAGTTAGATTTCCAATGCACCAGAATTCATGAAATTTACTATTAACTATTATATTTAATATAAAATATTACTTTGATGGTAACTTAGCTAACCAAACAAGCGGAGCAAAGAAGCTTATTAACAAAAATAAATAAATAAATAAATAGTAGTAGCAACAAGAAATGGTAAATATTAGGTACAATAAATAACATTGTTATGGTAAGTGATGACAACGAATCGAATCGAGGTGAGATTTTTGTTCACTTTGAACTCAATCTAATTTTAAATATATAAAATTTAAACTTAACTTAATTTGATAAAATTTTTATTATTTTTATACTTGAATTTGATTCGAAATTAATAAAATATTATTTTTAATATAAATATAAAATTAAAATTTTTTTTTTATATATATCGAATCAAATTTACTTAAAATCCAACCCTAAATTTTTTTTATGCCACCCAATTCGACTTGATACTAAATTAAAAAAAAAAAATCTTAAGAGATTAAATCAAACCAAAACTCATCGATTTTGAATTTTTTTACCTTTATCTGGTTTGCTTTACTTCTGGCAAAACTACATGTAGAAAAACTATTTTTTATTTAAAAAAATATTTTCTTGTAAAAAATAATTAATATTTGATTGGGTTGTGGCAGGCTCTAAAAAGGATTGCCAGATGGTGGACCCAAAATTTAAATGGGCTTTAATATTTCGGACTCAAACCATTCTAAAATAGAAGTGCCAGTCGTCGGCTTTTTACTGACCCGTATTTTAGAAGAGCTTCGGCTTAAGAACTAAGAAGCCCTTCTTCGACTCTCTTCCTCTTCCAAGGTTTCAACTTCCACCGACATAGCCACCGTTTGTTTCCCTGCTCTTCGGCTTTTACAAGTTAAAAATTTTCCCTCGATAAGCGGCGCCCAAACATCTTAGCTCGATTCCAGAGAGAATATGTAAGTTTTCTTTTTTTCTCTTTTTTTTTCTTTTTCCGGTTCTCTGTTGAATTACTGAAGAGTATTCGAATTTGATTTTTTTCTTTTAAATTATGTCTTTGAAGGTCAAGAATATGTGTGAAAAATCTTCCGAAACATGTGGCGGAAGATCGGCTAAGAGAATTCTTTTCTCAGAAAGGAGAAATTACTGACGCCAAGCTTATGCGCACCAAGTAACTTTCACTTCTTCTTCTTTCTCTTCATTTTTTTTAACCTTTTTTTCCTTTTAATTTTACTGTAATTTTAATTATTTCTTAATAATTTTTTATCAGGGATGGAAAGAGTAGACAATTTGCATTTATAGGGTACCGTACGGAACAAGAAGCTAAGGAAGCTATCAAATACTTTAACAAGTCTTATCTTGATACTTCTAGAATCATATGCGAGGTCTGCCGCCTTTTTTTATATAAATTTTTAAAGGGTTTGCCATAATTTATTAATGTTGTTTTATGTAGCTAAAGAAAGTAAGAAGATATAATTACTGCAAACTGAATTGATTTTGATATGTAAGATAAGAAGCAACATCTTTTATTTTGTTTTTCTTTCAGATTGCACGTAAAGTTGGGGATCTGAACACTCCACGTCCGTGGAGTCGGTATTCTTCGAATAAGAAACAGGAGAATGTTACTGAAACTGGAAAAAAGACAGCTGGGGCTAAAAGTTGTAGCTTAATTGATTCTAAAGGAGGGGAAAAGGTTCTTGCAAACAGTGAGAATGATGACCCGAAGCTTCAAGAGTTTCTTCAGGTTATGCAGCCAAGGGTTAGGTCAAAAATGTGGGAAAATGACATTGTACTTGATACCCCAGCAAACCAGAATAGCAAAGTTACCGAGAAAAAATGTGTAGCTGAGAAGGAAGGCAGACAGACATCAGCTCCAGTGGATGTTGACACAGATGAAACCGATGTTGGGATAGTTGATGATGAAACCAAAGCATCAGACAATGTTGCTCGTGATGAGGTCATTTCAGATATGGATTATTTCAGGAGTAGAATAAAGAAAGATTGGTCAGATGCAGACAATGATGACAATGAGGAAAATGATGATGGTGATCAAATGGGAAAACACAATGCCCTCTTTGAGAATGTTATTCAGGATCAGATCCAAGAGGGTTTGCCCAAAGATCTTGATGGTGAAATTCTTGATCCAGGCAACCCGTCTTCAGGCTCGAAAGATGATAGAGAAGAAGTCCTTGAGAATGGACGACTTTTTGTCCGTAACCTGCCATATACAGCAACGTAAATTTTTCTGCACAGCCGCCTTTGTTTTTATCTTTTTTCTTTCTACTGTTATTTGCAGGCATTTCATAGTAATATTTTCTTCATCTCTTGATTTTCATCTAACAGTGAAGATGAGTTGACAGAATTCTTTAGCAAATTTGGCGATGTCTCACAAGTCCATCTTGTTATTGATAAAGATACTAAACGTTCCAAAGGAATTGCATACGTTCTTTACAAGGTTCCAGAATGTGCAGTCAGGTATTTATTGAAATATTTTGTCTTAGTGGTGGTTTTGACACTTCAAAATTTGGTAATAATTGATTTATAGGTGTGTTAATACATTCATTCTGAAGCCTCATGATTGAAACATACAAGGAATAAGTTTTCTAGTGTAGCTTCTAAGTGCTGTAATTTTCTGTTGTCAATTTGAATTCAGTGCTTGCATAGGTAATGCTCATTTTCCGGGGTGCATCAATTTTTTCAGTTCTAAGGCTTCTCATGCATTAACTAGTAGAAATAATCATAGTTTTCTACTCTAGTTTTGTTTATAAATTATAAGATCCATTGTGCTTCTTCATCTGCAAAAGATTAAATGAAGGCTGACTCTTATCTTTGCTCTTGTTCTCTTATTTCACTAATTGAAAATCAAAAGTGGCCATTAAGCCTTTTCCTTGCAGTGTTGCTGGTAAAATGTAGCCTATTCTATCCTCAACTCCTTTTCTTTGGCCTAATGGCTAAGGAGCTCTTAGGAGGACATAGAGGTTTTGGTTTTGAACCAGGACTTCCTACCCTTCCCCCATGGGCTATGACAATCCTATGTACCAAAAAAAAAAAAAAAGTAGCCTTTTGTGGTCTGTAGCTCTTTTTCCATCCTACTATTTTCTGGCAAAGGGGTTGGTAGAATAAAGTCTCCTTGTTTTCTGTTTATTACATTTTTTAGGGATATATTCATGCTTTGCAATCTTTTAACAATATCCTCTATGACCTTCTGGATCTTATTGCCTGATTAATTTTTGCAGGGCTTTTGAAGAAGTGGACAAATCAATTTTTCAGGGTAGATTATTGCATGTAATGCCAGCAAAACTAAAAAAGCCAACAGGCAAACAAGAGTAAGCATCCGCAGTTGTAATCACTCCCTTTAGCCCTTTTGGTTTCAAATGATCATTGTTTTCCCTTTATTATGTTCATTAATCCAACATACCTTTCTCTACAGGTCCGATGATTCTGCGAACCAAGGTTCAAAAACTTTCAAGCAAAAGAGGGAGGAAGAAAGGAAGGCATCTGAAGCTAGTGGGGACACAAGAGCATGGAATAGTCTATTCATGCGCCCTGACACAGTATGCTTTTTCGATTAATCGAACTCTTTCTTCCCTTTAGTGAGATTAGTCCTTGGCAGATTCCATTTATTAATTGAATTTAAAAGATGTTCCAAATTTTACCCATTCGATTGTCTTACCAAAAAGGACCTTGACTGATCTTGAAATAGCATTCGCACACCCTTTGACTAATTGAGTTGACGATGTTGGAAATCTTACCAAGGAATATTGAAATTGTTCTACTGCACTAACAATATCTTTTTGTCTTAACCTGTTTTGCCTACTGATAATAGTAGTCTTACATCTTTGGAATATCTTTTTGTCTTAACCTGTTTTGCCTACTGATACTAGTAGTCTTATGTCTTTGGCTATACTTCACTGAAGTACTTTTATGTGGTCATTACAACATTATTCATCGGTTTCCTTGCATATCAATAGGTTGTTGAAAACATTGCTAGGAAATATGGTGTTAGTAAGAGTGAGTTACTTGATCGAGAAGCCGATGATCTAGCTGTGCGTATTGCTTTGGGGGAAACTCAAGTGATTGCAGAGACAAAAAAATTCCTTGCAAATGCTGGAGTAAATATCTCTTCTTTGGAGGAAGTTGCTGCTGGCAAAACTGATGGCATGAAAAGGAGCAATCATGTTCTGGTAGTCAAGAACTTGCCGTATGGCTCATCAGATGGTGAACTAGCTAAGATGTTTGGAAATTTTGGGAGTTTAGACAAGATCATTCTCCCTCCAACAAAAACATTGGCCCTGGTATGCATATATGTTCTAATTATATCGTTTATATTGATTTCTAGTTTAGGGTTCTACATAGAACTTTTTCTGCTCTTTCTTGCAGGGGTAGAGGGTCTTTTCTCTTTTTTTTTTTTTTTTTCTCCTTTTAAATCTTATGATGTGGAAACATGTAAACTGTAAGAACTGGCAGAATTGATTGCAGGATAAGTGGCTGTTGAGAGGCATATGATTCTTTCCTCTTTTATTGATGCTTTTGGTGGCTTTCAGGTTGTTTTCCTAGAACCAGCCGAAGCTCGTGCAGCATTTAAGGGTTTAGCATACAAACGTTATAAGTGAGATTTTCCCCATTCTTTTGGTCATCAGATGGCTCTCTTTATAACAGTTCTGGAAAATATTATTAGTATAATTTTTTTTGGAGAAATATTGGTTAAGTTTCAAATTATCTCCAGACATTTGCAATGTCTTTGATTTTAATTGGTGCTTGCTTAAATTTAGTGGTTGTTAAATTTAACTGTTTCTTTCTGGATTACTCTATATATGTTTGTTAGGCACTATAGTGGTTTCTATATTTAAACCTTCGCATAACCTGGAATTGGTATTCAAGGAACCTAAAATTGTTTTTCTTTCATGTATAGGGATGCTCCTTTATACTTGGAGTGGGCTCCTGACAATGTTCTTAATAAGAGTTCAGCTTCTGAGGGTGACAAAAAGAATAATGCTGCTGTTGGTGAACATGATGTTAAAAGGGCAATTCTGGAGCAACATGTGGAAGGATTATCAGATGCAGATGTTGATCCTGATAGAATTGAGGTTCAGCCTTTCCTTTTTCCTCCTTTGTTTCCCTTGATGCTTTAAATAATATGCTTTTATTACTTCGCTTTGCTACTTCAGTCGCGATCTCTATTTGTCAAGAACCTTAATTTCAAGACTTCTGAAGAGAGCTTGAGGAATCATTTCACTGAACTTGTGAAGGAAGGAAGAATACAGAGCATCAGGGTAATTATTTGGGTATTCGAAACCTTTGTTACATTGGAATTGAACCTGTCCTTCTGAACTTTATGAGTTTTGTCTTTTCTTTTGGCAGGTAAAAAAGCACTTGAAGAATGGCAAGCAAGTCTCAATGGGTTATGGTTTTATTGAGTTTGACTCAGTGGAGACGGCAACAAATGTTTGCAGAGACTTACAGGTAATTACAATTAAGATTATTGAGTTTCAAAAGCATAGTTTCAACAATTTCAAGTGCAGCATTTTGATAACCGCTTTCTCTTTTAGGGAACTATTTTGGACGGGCACGCTCTTATCTTGCAACTTTGTCATGCCAAAAAAGAAGAGCAGGCAGTAAAAAATGTTGAGAAGGATAAAAGTTCAACCAAGTTGCTTGTAAGAAATGTAGCTTTTGAAGCAACAGAAAAAGATCTGAGACAGTTATTTAGCCCATTTGGCCAGGTATGGTTTGCTTCAGTATATTGAATTTATGAATGATTGAAGACTACATCTCCACATTATCAACTAACACTAGTTGTTATCATTATGTTTTCAATAGCTCTGTGCATACCTTTTTTTTTTGAGTTAACTATTAACACCAAAAAGCTAGAAAATAAAGTATCTTAGTCATGGAATGATTGTAGTAGTGAATGGTGAACTTTCCTTTGGAACTTTGCATAGTAAAAGAACTTTATCAAAAAAAAAAAAAAAAAAGAGAAACTTTACAAGAGTGATTTAGTCACAACTTGAACCAGCTTTATGTTGATTTTTTAACAAAATTTTGCAATTTATGTTGTTTGCTAGACATTGGAAAGTGCTATTTTTGTCTGGCTGACCCTAGCTTCCCTTCTGGTTGTTTAGATCAAGAGCTTAAGGTTACCAATGAAGTTTGGGAACCATAGAGGGTTTGGGTTTGTGGAATTTGTTACGAAGCAAGAGGCACAAAATGCACTTCAAGCACTCTCAAGCACCCATCTTTACGGTCGTCATCTGGTAAGTCACATCGCATCTTTAACAAAGTTGCACATCCTGTTTCCGGAACAAAAACATAATTGCTGTATATGACTTTTAGGTGCTAGAAAGAGCAAAAGAAGGTGAGAGTTTAGAAGAGTTACGGGCACGAACAGCTGCTCAATTCACTGATGAACAGAATGGTTTTCAAAATCCAACTAGGTTATCCAAGAAGAGAAAGAACATGGAAATCTTGGATGATGGCAGAAAGAAGTTTGAAAAGATCGCAGATTAGCAGTTCCAATGAAGCGTGGTGATGCAATGGGGTGTAGATGAACTGCTTTTCTTCCCATCTCTTCCCTCCTATTTTATATGTTTTACGCTTGCTTCATTTTTCCTTGCTAGAAGCTAGCATCAATTTTGTAGACTTCTTTTGCCTTTTTTTTCTTATTTTACTGAAAAGCGAATGAACTAAGTGTAAAATATTGGTAGTTTTGTATGTAAATTAAGTTATGCAATTATTTTTAAAAAATGATATTTAGTAAATCGAAATTTAAATTTGAGAACATGGAATTTTTTTTCTATCTTTAAAAAAAATTGTTTAAACTCAACCATATTTGTTTCCTGACGAAAAAACTTACAATAAAACGAAAGTTATAGCCATTGCTTGTTTTTGGCTAAGCAATTAAAACAAAAAAAATTGAGAAAGGGAAATAGCATTTAATTTTCTGTTAGCCACGTTCACTACACTATTTCAACACAGTACAGTAGTAATTTCACATTGAAAGAGGATGATAAGTATTACACCCAAACAAAAAACCCAAGACAGAAAAGAGAAAAAAAGCAAAGAACATCAGAGGGTGTGACAACCGTAGCAGCTAGCAACTCCCGTAGCCGCTCGACCTTTGGAAGTAACTCCGACCAGTATGTATCTGCCCTTGGACCATGCTGCAATTTAAAACCAAGAAGAGACATGGCCATGTTCTAATGAACTTCACTATTAAACCAAGTTTAGATCAGATTGTTTTCTCTAAATTATTTTTGATCCTAAACACACTAATCCGCTACTGGTTCCCATGTATTAAAAAAAAATCCCTATCTCTCTCGACATTATTTTGTGTGATTATCGTCTGCATCTAGTTTTTCTACACTAAAACCAGAGGATCCAACTTAAAATTGATTGGTGTATATCTGTAAGACAGGTTCAGGATTATTAAAAAAGATCGAAGTGATATATCCCATGAGTACCGATGATAAGATATATATATATATATATATATATATATAATATCCCTCAACGTGACTATAAATCACCATATAGCAGTGGTGTACCTAAGGTATAGTCAACTACTGGCCTAAGCTCATCCCAGTTCTGGTGCCCGAAGTATTCATCTCCATGTGGGTTAGAAAAGCTTAAACATGATGGAAGAACTTGAGTTGTTCCTGCAAAGAACTGGCTCCTTCCAGGGAAATGATCATTGACAAGCTTCCTTTCAATCACCTTATCATCTAAAACTCCAAAACTTTTAACCTTGACATTATTGTCTGTCTCTATACTACTGCATATTCTGGAGTTGCTAGTAGTAGTATATTTTTTGGAATGATTGTTCGTCTTATTTTGCCAATCTGATGCATACTTTCTACATGAAACATCACGCTCAAAGATTCTGCAAAGTGTCCAAACTTCCTGCAATGAAGAAAAAATCTTTCATTTAATTAGCTTTAACCAAAGAAAAAGGTTTTCAAAAGAGATTAACTAATTAAGAAGTTTATGGTAAGGAAATGGATCTTACTGCTTCTGGCAAGTTCTCCTTATTATTATTTGAGAGACTAGGATTTTGACCGGTTGGAAGGCGAAACTCATGCATCATCCAATCAGTTTTGGTGCCTTTTCCTGCACTTCCCCGGTAATAGACTAAGGATTTCTTCAGGCCTATGCAATCCTTAAATCCTCCAACAGAATATATTGGCTTGTCGATACCAGTAGCTTTCCAGAATCCTGACCCTGTAACCCTGTTTGGCCTTATGCTATTCCTGTATTTTCTACCTCTTCTGCAAAAGAAGTACCATTCCTTCTCTGTAACAGTGCTCACTTTGCTGACTTCTGCACCATCCACAGTAATTAACCACCAAAGTATGAAGAATAAAGTTTATTATACGTGAAATTAAATTTCTCGACACCCTTTAATCCATTTTCTTCAACAATCAGAGGGAATGAAAAATAGTTAGCTTGATGAAATTTTTATTTTCAATATGTTTCAGAAACAGTAAAGAAAGAAAGTAGAAAATATTGAATCATACTTGGAAGATCCCAAGGATCATATTTGTAGATATCAACATGTTTGATTAGGTCAATACTAAAGTGTTTCTTCTCCACCTTCCTTTTAAGATAAAACCCCACAAGCTCTTCATCAGTAGGATGAAAACGAAAACCAGGAAGCACAACATCTTCATCTTCATTGTCACCTGAAGAAATCATCTTCTCCACCTCCATTTCTATCTCCATCTTTAGTGTTCTTTACCACTTCGAGCATGCAATAGACCTTATATTATGTTATAAGAAGAGACTAATTTTTAGTCAAAGTCACAGTATTTGACCGAAACATGGGAGCGCTTGCTTCATAATTGAAGGCTTTAGTTTATGTTGAAAAAGAAAATTGGTGGTTAGACATTTCACCAAAGGACAACTGAAATCTTTATTTGAAAAATATTTGGCCCCAAAACAGCGAACAAGAGAAAGACAAAGTCATTAGAACAGAACAACTAGTTTGACTAAAAGTTTGCCCCTGGGGATGAAAAACTGACTATCCACTTTGTAGCATTCCACAATGAGAAACTGGTTTCACTTTTTCGGTTTCCCATTCATTCCAGGACATAGATATTTTTGTCCTCAACAAATGGACTATGAGCAGACGATAAGAGATACATCCATACGGTCCAATTGTTCATAGTCTTGGGGTTCAAGAACTTTAGCAAGATATGTCATACATGCATTTTATACTCATCGGAATCGAGTTCCAATCTTCCTCTCTGCTAAAGCAACATATATGTGATGTAACCTTTTACTAAATCCTTTGAAAAGAATGAGTTTGATTCCCGAGAAGATGGGATTTCATCAATTCCAGAAATCTTGATAAACTTCAAAAGATTTTACTATCTGATTCGTTGAGCCCAAAATATCTTAATATACCTAAGTTCTGACAAGTTTGAAATCAAGAAATCAGAAGATTACTTACGCACGCCATGATTTTATTGGGTTTTAATTGGTGTCCGAGAAATCTTTTCATATGTACTTTGTAAAATTAAAGATGCAGTTGCTTCTTTCAATATAAGAGAATGGTTTTCATGGTTAATTTGTACTGAAATATAATAAACCAACGGCTGTTTTGGAGGTGATGTCTAGCTTTGCAGTACTTTTTTTTTTTTTTAATAAAAGAGGTCACGGGGCCACAGAGAATTAAAAAAAAAAAACTGAATTCCATATTTTATTCGTCCATATTGTTTCATATATATACATAATATTTGATATATTATCGATTTATAATAATATATATTATTAATAAATTTGTAATAAAATTTTATTAAAAATTAATTTTTAAAATGTTTTTAAAGTTAAATATATTTATTTTTAAAATTTTAAAATTAATTTTTATAATATCATTATGCAATTTCATTAATAATATATAATATTTGTGCACTGATTATGTATCAAAAATATATATCATTGCAGTGAAAAAATAATAGGCTAAAGATCATGCTATGCAGTCATTGTCATAGAGATGGAATTTTCCCGTTGTTGATATACATATGTTATTTTTTTAATAAAATCAATGAATCATTATTGTCACCCAAAGTCAAATTTTAACAAATAAAAACTCTAATTATTCCTTAATTAAATCAATTAATTTAGCAAAACCATGTGCTTTTTAAAATAATGAAACAAATATTCAAATGTAATTATTTAATTTTATTGCTTTCCAACTATACCCAAACGAGGAAATAAGTCTTTGATTTTCTATAAAACAAATAATTAGCATTGTAGAAAGCTTCCAATTGAACACGTTAAAAAATAATATACATAAATTTTCCTTGTTCACTAATAAATTGATTAATTAAATTTATATTCTTATAATCAATTCGATCCTCCGATTAGATCTAGAGCAAACACTTATGTATAAATAACTTGGATTTTAAAAAAAATACTTTGAATTTATCCATAATTCTTTATTTCTAAAAATAACCATATTCTATCCGTTTTTAAAGTTTTATTTTGATCGGATTAAATTTAAATTATAAAATTAATATAATAAATAAGATTTAGTTTATTTTTTTATTATTATTATCATGATATATGAAATTTCACTTGTGAGTGAAAAATGTGAACAAGTGGGGAAAGGGTATTTGTTTTTTTATAAACATGTGGAATGAAAAATCCTTTTAGGTCTTGGTAAGATTTGATCTTCTGTATTCCCCCACCAATGCCGACAAACGAAAAAGTCTAAAAATGGGTTGTAATCAAACATACATGCATCAAAAAGCTTTTATTACCAATTAAAAAAGAATTATGTTGGAAGAAATTGTCAATGTTCAAAGTGGTTAATACCTCAGCAACTTGCTGGCTTTTAGAAACTTCTTTTGCATAAGCTGCCAATAGTTATTGCACAACCCAAAGCACGAAGCTTTGAAATTTTGAAACTCATTTTCCATAATTTACTTATTTTGGTGTCCTTGTTTGACCATATGAAAGTATTAATGTGATCAAAATTTCTGCACCTTTTTCTGCTTTTATCAAAGGGAAAAAGTTCAATTTTCTCGCTTCACATGTCAACCATATTTATCACATATTTTTAATGAATTTTATATTTTTTAATTAATTAAAAATATTTATTTTCATATGCGTTCATTGTCGATTTTTAATTATTCTCAAATCAAATTAAAAAAAAATACGAGGATAAAATTACACCCAATCAAGAAATAATGACAATTTGCTGTACCAAATTCATATCTTATCAAAATTTTCAAAACACAAGTTTTCTATGCTTTTTATTGTAGAAAATAAAAAGCATTTAAAAGTTTTGATCATCTGTGTGGAAAATTGCTTCTAAAATGGTATGTGCTTGCGAATGCATAGACATAAAATACATATAACGAAAATCAAGTATGATATAATAATCGTTGATCCATTTAATGAAAGAGTAATATTCAAATTCAACTTATTTTCTGCTTTTTAAACATTATAAATAAAAGATTAATCAAACAAATAATTTATATATGTTATTTAATAAAAAAATTTATCTATTTCAGTATAGTAGAGTTTTTAAACTTCATTTATGATATTAGTAAAATGATATATATTTATTTTTAAAAGTATATAAAAATAAAAATTAATATAATAAAAAAAACTCATAATAATTCATTAATTTTTGACCAAAAAATTCCTAATTTTATTTGTAAAATTTAAAAATTTAAAATAAAAAAAAAAAAACAAACTCATCGGATCGATTGAACTGAAAATCCATAGTTAATCCAATCCAAAAGAGTACATAGAATAAGTTTTTGACAAATCGAACAAAAATTGGTTCAACCTATATAAAACCAAACAAAATCGATTTTAGGATTTATTTTATTGTTTTATTTTTAAAAAAATTTTTTGTACATGGTTGGATTTGAATATTTAATCTTTTAATTTATGTTAAAGGGCATAACATTAAGCTAAATACATATTTTTATTAAATATTTACTATATTTGATATTTATTTAATATCAAAATCATGAATTTATTATTGTCATCTTTTTCTTTCTAATTGAACCGACCGGTTGAACAAGAAAATTGACGTTTCAATGAAAATATTTGTTTTTCGTATTTAAAGTTTTGGGGATTAACGGGCTTTCACATAAAGACCCAAATCCAATTAATCAAGTTTTGTGGGTAGGGTTTCGTTAATCTGCATTGGGCTCCGTTTGAGCCCAAATTTAGTTTGGGTAAATTTCAGGAACGGAAAATACAAGGGTGAAATGGTAAATTAACTTGAGAAAGAGAGCACCAAACAAAAGCTGTAACGAATAGCAGTCACCGACTCTCTTGAAACCATAAGAAATTCCAAACATGGAAGCCGCTCCTTGTCCGATACTTTACACGCTCCGCGTACCAACCAATACCGTAACTGCAACTGTTAACAATAACAATCTTTGTCTGCTTCCTAAAAGCAATCATTGTTGGCTTCCTTCATTTTTCTCTACTTTCCCAAGAAACTTTAACTTTCACGGAAAAAATCTGCAATTCAATGGCTTTACTGCTTTCAGCTCACCATCTAGTGCCCAAAACCAAAACCTATCTCAGGAACTGGCTGTTCTTCTTGAAGTTGATGGGTAATTCATTTATAGGGCCAACTTTTTGGTTTTAATATAGTGTTTTCTCGTTTTAGTTACATTTCTTGTTCTGGGTTTTTTCCTTTATTTTTTCCAAATCAGTTATTCATCTGATTAAATTGGTGGTCTGTATTTGCCCATCTGTAATGTATACTGTAAACCTAGATTGCTATCTCTCGCTGTTTTCTTCTAATTTACTTGAGCCCTTTTTTGGAAAATTTTTTTATTTTCCTTATGTCTAGTTAATGTTTCAGTTCCTAATTGGATTATTCTTTCCTGGTTCTAACCTTAAATGTCTTCACTTTCGTGTTCCAGTATCTTACTGTAATGACAAACAATTCATTTTCTTGCTTGTGGTTTTTCTTTTTTTTTTTTTTTAATTTTGCATTTTTAATTCTTTTCAGGGTCCTTATGGATGCATATCGTTTGGGCAATCGCCAAGCCTTCAATTTAGGTGCGGCAGTTGAAGTGATCATATGTCTATTGCGCAAAAGGATCTAAGTTAATACTTCAATGAATAAGCTTCACGATCATTTGCAAATGACATGCTTATTACTTAAGTTACCTTTTTTTTTCTAATACTACCAGCATTTCAAAAGCTTGGGCTTGACTGTGCAAACTGGACTGAACCTGTCTATTCGGATCTTTTAAGGTGAAATCTCAGCGAAGATAGTCTTTTTTTTTTTTGTGTATTATCATCAAAATTAGTGCATTTTGTGTATGCTATGAATGAACTGATTTTCATTATTAAGGTGCACCGGATGGGAGTTGATTTGGGTTTACACTGTGGTATATACTGGAAAACATGATTGACACTATGAATCTTGTTAAGAGGCATTTTGTGATTGCCTTCCAGGAGAAGTGCTGGTAATGAAGAAAGGATGCTGATTCTATATTTTAACCGGGTAGGTCCTCATCATTGAAAGCATTAATGCTTAGAGGTGAGCTTTGTATGTTTGCATGTTATCACACCAATTATCTGTCTTATAGTCGCCTGTACTTTGGCAGATTGGTTGGCCTACTTCATTGCCTACAAGTGAGCAGGAGCCATTTGTGAAAAACGTATTACGAGAGAAGGTAATTTGAAATGTGATAAAGAAAGGATATAACTTTTCATGGTTGTATTTGTGCTTCTGTTATCCGTTTTCTGATTTTCTCAATCCATAAAACCGTTAATCCTATTGTTGTTAAAGTCTTGAGTTCTTTTTTTTCTACACAATCTTTCTTGTAATTGTGTAAGATTTTCTTGCCATCATGTTTAGCTTGCGCTTATAGTTTAGCAAGGTTAGCTAATGGATTTATCTTCTTGTTATTGGCAGAAAAATGCACTGGATGAACTGATGTTAAAAAGTTTACCTTTACGGCCTGGAGTTGAGGAGTACGTTGTAATCTAGTTATTCTGCATGTTGGCCCTTTTTTTATGTTTTATTCATTTCTGAAAATTACTTTTCCTGCTTGGCATTAACCCTTTAAATCTGGTTTTGCCATGTGTTTTTGCAGTTTTATTGATGATGCATGCAACAAAGGAATACCTGTGATCGTCTTAACATCCTACAGTAAAAGTGGGGACAAAATTGCTCGGTATGTTCTAGTGATCACCATTATTATACTGTGTTGGTTTTGGAATATAAGAGACGTAATTCTGTTCTGATTCAAGTTTGCTGCTAGTCTTTTCTCTTTACCTATTTGCTAGAGTTGAAGATGCTTTGTTGACTGCCTGGGAGCTTGCTAATGTTTCCCTTTTATGCCAAAAAACATTAGATCTATAGTTGAAAAGCTTGGTCCTGAACGACTCTCAAAAATAGAAGTTGTTGGGAATGAGGAAGTAGATAAGAGTTTTTATGGTCAACTTGTGTTTGGTAAAGGAATGTCTTCGTCTTTGGATGAGCAACTAGCTAAGGAAGCAAGAAAAGGAGGTAGATTCTCAGTCCTTTTGTTTGGTAAAAAAATTGATACGCATTCTTTCAATTCAGCTGGTTGGTAAAAATAGGTGTTTTTCTTGCTTTATGGCCAGCTTCTGCCGAGAAACAAAGAATAGCAAAGGAGGTTGCATCCATGCTGAAAGTGAGTGTTAACATTGATACCAGCTCATCTGAAGGGTCAGACCACTTCTTTTCTCTTTTTGTTCTTTCCCTTTCTTTTTCTAACAGAGGCAGACAAAGTGAAAGGAAATCAACAACTCATAATTCATGTAACTGTTGCTTTACATGTTTGGAATAATTTCCAGTCCTGTTAAGGTGTAAATTCTGTGCTCCACTTAGGTCCTTGATTATAGCTTTACTTTTTCTGATTTATTTCTTAGCGCTCTTGTTTATTCTTTGAATGCACCAAATGCAAGATAATAATTGAATGGGAAAAATATTTGTGTCAAAGTGAGATACTAAGAATTAAAAAGAGTACTTGCAATTCTTCAAAAGCTGAAATAACTTTCTTGACAGAGTTAAAACCTAGTCCTAGTCTTCCGCGGCAAGTTAACCTCACCACTTGCAAACTAGTCAAGCACCACCACCATCAACAACTGCCATTTGTAAACATCATTAGCAACTGTCAAGAACGTTGCTAGTCAATGGTAATTGTTGAGACGGATATAAATATACCAAAATTTCCATGATTTTTAAAGCTGAGGGAGAATGTAAATGAGAAATGTTTTGACTTGTAAACTATTTTCTTGGAAATGAAAGTCGAGAAAATCATGGTAGCATTTCCATGTTTGATGTACCAAGTCAATCATTTGTCTTTAGCATTACGAACTTCAATCTGATATTGTGAATGCTATCCAGCTTGGCAAAGATTGTAGCTGCACTACGTGCAGCTGCAGAAATGGCTGGGATACCTGTCTACAATTGCATCCTGATTGCAGGAAGCAAATCTGGAGTGGCTGCAGCTGAGCAGATAGGCATGCCCCGTGTTGTGCTGAGGAGCAGGTAAGGCTTGCTTCTCAACCTTGTAAATTATGTGATGCAATTCATGCCTCTTTTCAAGTATGTGATGTAATTCATCACTTGTTTCTTTGGTAGTTTCACATCTAGAGCAGAGTTCCCTTCCGCCAATGCTATAATGGATGGGTTTGGAGGTGCGGATCTGACTATCTCTAAACTATGCAAAAAGAGATGGTCATGACTGTTGAGATGAAGTGCTGTGATCTGAACCAAGTGCCTGGGCTGCTATTTTTGTTTCTCTAGTTTGATAAATTATTGATTAGCATTTAATTTTAATGCAATCCAATGAAAACTTTTGTAGCATCACCACACCTTCATTTGTCAAGCATAAATTTTTCCAAAATTGAGTTACCACTGCAGGAACGTTGATCTTATTTTCTAAAAAGTAGACATATTCATAAGGAAGGATTGCTGCAAACCGTTAATCTCAATAGCTGGAAACTTCATGCTGAAATTCCTATAGGCATGTAGCTCAAATGACATATCCACTGCAAACATAAATGAAAGACAATAAAATTGCGTAGATAGGAGCCCAATGGGAAGAAAAGTGGAATTAGCCGCATTCGTTCACCAACAGAGAACAAAGGATTTTACAGGCGAATAGGCCTATAGCTCCTAGGAATGAAATTGTTAACAGAGAACAATGTACCGGCCGATAAATTTATTACACTCCAGCATGCCAGAAAGATCAAATGTGAATCTATGGGTGGAATAGGAGCAGCAACGGCTAGTTGCAAGAATAAACCAACTTAAAGCATCGAATTATTTTCAGCCAGAAATATCCTGGACTGTCACGTGAGAAGAAAGGAAATATCATTGATTAATTTCTGAGAAAGTGTACAACGCAAATCTCCCTGACAACTTTGGTGTTGACCTATATAGAGCCTAGGACACAGCCAAATCCTGCATCCTGGATTGTTTTTGTCACGTATGTAAAAAAACCGTCTCTCTCTCTCTCCCTCTCCATATATTATGTCCCCATTTTTCATTAGAAAGAAAATTTTAAGTTGAATGAGGGAGTAGCTAAACCTATTTTGGTATACGTTTTACATGGGAAGACTAGCTTTTATTAAGAAAGCTCTGCTTCTTGAATTTTTGTATTTCTTCTCCGCGTTAAGTTAGGGCTTGAGTACTCAATACCACCATCAGATGCTGAAATGTTGGAAGATACAGATGACTCTGGAATTGAGCTTGTTGGATTTAGCTGATTTTGATTCCAGAAACTCTCAAAAGCCAGTGATGATTGTTGCCTGGGAGCCTCAGGAGTTTGATTGCCTTGAGCCTCTTCAGAAAGTCGCCTTAGAAGATTCATGACGGTGGGAAGAAACCTTGATGAGATAGAGATTAGCCCAGCCAGCTGGTAAGAAGGCAAACAAATAAATTGACTCAGTTTGAAAACAAGGTTCTTCTAATTTGGGCAAGGCAACTAGAAAATAGGTCCTGATGATCTTCTGTCTCATCTCAAATGTACAAGTCTGGCTGAATAATGATAGAATTTCCAAAGAACAAAAGAGAACATCATATATTGACATAAACCAACAGTAAAACGTTTAAGCACCAATTTCATCATTACATAAGTATGCTATAGGTCATGTTTCAATTGCAAGCCGAAAAGCCAAGTGGGATTTTGAAGGAACACATGCCGTGTGCACATTCACGAAGCAGTAAATCACAAGTCATAACTACAAGAACATTTGGCAAAAATAGAGAGCATTCTATCTTTCATACTCACAGTGCCATGTTGAAACTGCCCAGGGACATCCATCTGTACCCACATGGCTTTTGAGAGTAAATATGCAATAAATAGAAGCAATAGATAGAGAGGATTCCTGTTTCAGAGAAACATTATTAGCACAATAATTAAAATGATAGTAGAAAGTTAAAAAAAAAGGAAAACCCATAGAAGTATTTTGAACTGTGCTAGAAATCAGACTCTAGATGAATATCCATTCTAAGCCCAGGGCATGGGTCTGTAGGTTCACCCACTGCCTTTGGTTGTAGCAGTTCCCCGGGACTAGGGTTCTAGCCCCAGCTCCTGTTAAAGGCCAGGGTCTTTACCCCCCCTTTATATGCATAGCCCAGCAAAGATAGAAGTGAAAAAAAAAAAAAAAAGAGGGGGGAAAAAGAAGAGATGAACTATGGACTCTAGATTAGATTAAGTTACCTTAAAAGGAGCATAAATTCATTAAATCCAAGAACAACCATTGCCACAATTGCCCATGGGGGAGGTAACCAGTTGTTACTTCGCTTGTATGCCTCCTAACGAAAAGAAATAAAATCATTAGAGAGAGAGCCTAAAGTATTTACTCAATGAGTAGCAACCTGCCCTCACAAGTACCATGAGTAGCAACCAATAGCCTTAGACAAGTACCTGTGCTGAAATAGCTTGAGTAACTGTATACTCAGTTTCTGCTTTGAACCGTCTCCATAGTGACTTGCATTGAACTGGTGTAATCAGGGTATTCTTCGGAGAAACCTAATACACGTGTGACTTCTAAATGAGGAACTTCAGTTAGATAAAAGTACATATTATATTACAAAACTAAACAACCCAACCATTACCTCCTTCCATGTACTAGAGGAAAGAGGGTCAGAAGTAGTTATACTTCTGTCTTGTGAAGATGCAACAGCCACGCTTCCTTCCATTAGGGACGAAAACAGTATGTTTTCGATTTTATCCGGTTTCTCATCCAACCGTATGGCAACCATAACAGATAACAACCTCAGAGACTGCAAACAGAACAATAGTTAAAAGTCCCTATGGTGATATGTTGAAAGTTTCACTCATGAAATAATCCAGGAAATTACCGCGGTACAAGCATCCTTAGTAATTGTCTTAATGTCTTCTTTTCCAGTCCAAACTCGTGGCATTGAATCGTTATCATGACTGAAGACAGCTGAGAACCTGATACATGCAACCAAGCAATAAATACAACAGGTTATTCTAATCAATACTAGCAATAATAAGGAATATGAAAATTAAGGTTCTCTACCTATCTTTCATGCGAATCAGAACTTTTCCAGCTTCTTCTCTTGCTTTCTTCTCCAACACATTTCTCGCATAATCTCTCAAATCTTGCAGCATTTTCTCAACTGTAGATCGGTCTAACTCAAAACTAGAAATGGCAGTTGAAAACTCAGATGCAGCAATCGCGGTCTCAAGTGTAAGAAGCTTTCTTATTGAAGCCCAGGTGTCTCGTCCAGCAGCATCAAATAGAGACTCCACTGGTTCAGATAGTGATCGAATAAGTTGTTTCTGAGCAACAATAAAATGTCAACATTTTGCTTATTTGATAAAACAATGGTGCACAGTAGAAGAAATATCTATAGATGAAAAAGAGGATAAAATATTGAAATAATAAATAAAAGGGATAATTACACTTTTAGTCCTAAATGTTTGGGGGCTTTTCTCTTTCAGTCCTAAACATTTGAAAATTGCTATTTCAGTACCAAAACTTATCATATCCTAGCACTGTTAGTCCTAACGTCAAATTTCAAAGGGATTTGACCACGGAAAGCTGACATGCATTAACAGTACACAAGTAGCAAATTGTGGCATACCAGATGGATAGTTCGTCCAACATGGCCATTAAATAATAAAATAAAATAATAAATTAACTTTTTAAAGAAAACATGAAAATGAAAAGAAATGAATGGTCAAAGTCCAATTCTACGTCTTTTTATCTTCCAAATCTCTAGCTTTGCTTCTCCTTCTATCTCCCTCTTACCTTTCTTTACTGCTGATGCCATCAACAAGAAGGCAAGCACCGGCATTCCTTTCTTGTCTTATCATTTTTCTTTTCCTCTCTTGATTTAGCCTCACTTTCTTTCTCCATTTTCATTTCACGTCCTTTCTCTCCCTGTCTCTCTCTCGTTGTCATTGTCATCCCCGAAAACTCACACAGCCTCTCTTCCTCTCTCATGACTTCCAACCCACCTTCATCTAAGATTCCCTCCACAAAGCGTCCATCAAAGTCGTCAACATCTTCAACACCATGGTCATCTATCACAAGCTCTCTGATCAATAATTTTATGGTTGTTTAAAAGATAATAATTTGTAAAATATTAGTAATATTTATTTTATAATAAATTATTATTAAATTATTAAATGAATAAATATATTTATTACTATGTAAATTTATTTTTATAATATAAATTATGTAAAAAATATTTAAATTAAAAAATAAATCTAATATATTAAATTCATAATAAAAGAAAAAAATTATATTATATATAAGATATTTAACAAATAAGAAAAATGCAAATTATTTTTAACTTATTATAATGAATATTAGTTTCAAAATATAAAAATTTATAAAATAATTACAAATTTAAAATGCAGTAAGTTTTTAATTTAGATATTAAATGAATAAAATTAATTATTATTAATTTTACATATCATTTCAGTGATAAAAATTTCTCACATTTTTATATAATAATTAAATTACTCTTCAAAGTAATAATCTAATTCCACTCAATGATTCAAGATCACCATCATATAAAATTAATACATGCTTACCAAACATAGTAATCTAATCACCATGATTTTTGGAGTGATCATCCAATATCAAACACTACCTTATGGTTAAAAGGAAAACCAAACGGGTAATTGTTCAATTTTTTTTTGGTTTAGTTACTTTGTTCATGAGAAACATTTTCCTTTCTCCAGATGATTACAATGTGTTTTGATAGTCTTAGGTTCTATTGATCTCTTGTTTTGTTCTTTGATAATGTTTCTTTTATTCTCTTTGCTAGAAAATTAAAAAAAAAAAAATCGAGTTTGATGAAAATTTTGTACAAGGAAAATGCTTTCCATTTTATTTTATTTTATATTTTGCCTTAGCGGCGCAAGCTACCCACACCCATGCGCCATTAATGCCAAGTCAGCTTTCCGTTGCCCGTTTTGTTTGGAAATTACCTTAGGACTAAAGGTGTTACAAATTGATACCATTTAGGACTAAAATAGGAAAGTTTAAACGTTTTGGACTGAAAGCGAAAATTTCACAAACGTTTAGAATTAAAAGTGTAATTATCCCTAAATAAAATTACCTCATAGGTAACCATCAATTCTGACAATTTTGCATTTCGAACAGATGATGTGTGGGCATCAATATCACGGCGAAGTTTTTCCTTTACTTTAGAAGCATCCCAATTAGCCTGTCTGATGGTAGCATCTGTAAGAGGAGAAAATAGACTGTTAAGGCAGATAAACAAGTTGAACATAAAACTAAAGCAGTACTTCTGAAGATCGTATTATAATTTAGGCTTGCTTTGCATACTTCATTAGGCTACAAGGGTATGACAAAATTTTATTACATTACCTGCACATCCTTGGTCAAATTCAAGCATACAAGACTTGGTACATGTACGAGCAGAAGCTGCTAAT